TCCCACGATTAATCCTTTTCTCCTGAAACACGTCTTTAACTTTAAATGCACCTACCAACCTTTCTCTTCCGTCATTCAAAACGTTTAGGTTCAGCTTTTGATCTCATTCTTCTTTCAGTCGTGGATGGGTAATGATTTGTCATCTCGTCAAAGTCCATAAACTTCTATTCGCGTTCGTTCCTTTTTGATAGGCATCTCCACCACCGTTAGAATAAAAGAATGGATATGGGGGGTATGTGATAGCTGGTAACGCCAAGTAGCGTTCGTCCAAAACTGTTAACATCCAGCGGCTCCGACTTCGCCACACAATGGCCGCCACCAGACGTCGGACGGAATTCCAAGCGGCTATCCGTCATCGGCACCGAACACCAGCGTGTATGTGATCTGGTCTGTCATCGGCACCGAACACCACCGTGTATGTGATCTGGTCTGTCATCGGCACCGAACACCAGCGTGTATTGATCTGGTCTGTCATCGGCACCGAACACCACCGTGTATGTGATCTGGTCTGTCATCGGCACCGAACGCCACCGTGTATGTGATCTGGTCTGTCATGGCACCGACACCACCGTGTATGTGATCTGGTCCGTCATCGGCACCGAACACCACCGTGTATGTGATCTGGTCTGTCATTGGCACCAACACCACCGTGTGTGTGATCTGGCGGGCAAACCATGGCATTCAGTGCGGTGCACATATGTTTCCCCATTCGAACTATTTTTAGAGCACCCTAAGCGCTGTCATGTCCACCTGATGCTCATCTGGTATTCGCAATCGTGCAACGCACTTTGGAAACGTCATAGCAAACTAGCGAGCATAGAGAGTTTTCCTGTTTTTTTTTCTCCGAGGAATAAGGCTATTACTGTATCCTTATCTATGTGAACAATGTCCCCCGCTAATGCACTGAACAACTTACGTCATAGCGAACACTGAACACAGCGACACAGTCCTAAAGACGGCGGGGTGAGATGGTGATCTGTCACTGTGTTCAACATGACCAGAGGCAGCTTAAATCATGTCGGCTGATTACGCACATCAGATAGTTGTCCACCCTGTCCGGGATCATAATCGCCCACCGTTGCTCCATTCTTCCCGATATAAATGTTAACTCTTTTACAGCATCGGGGCATCGCGGTCGGTTACAAGACAACTATTAATTCTACTTTAGTGCACTAGAAGCACAAGACACGCGTCAATCATCTTCATAAGCATGCTAGAAGAAGCCGCGATCAGTCTTTTAGAAAAAAAGCTTGACCTATTCTGCTCTGAACTCCAGTCCCCTCCGTCCCCTTCCAGTTAGACGCAGTCCACGGCATCGGCACCCAGGTCACGTCCTGTTGCCGCGTGGTCATTTATCTCGCCGGGCGCCGGCCTGATGTTCGATACGATCGGTGTCGAGAGCTGCGTGCAGGTGTGCAGGGCGCGCTCTCAGATTGGGCCATCAGAATCAGACCAGCCGATCGACGGCTCCGGACGGCTCGGCCGTGCAGGCCGGCCTGGGCGGGTCGGACCGAGCTCACGTGTGGGGCCCGGCGGCCCCGCACCGTCTGGACCGCGGACCACCCGGCCGCGGGCGGACCGATCCGGACCGCAGACCGTCTGGACCACGGACCGTTTGGACCGCAAACCATCTGGACTGCGGACTGTCCGGACCGCGGACCATCTGGACCGCGGACCTTCTAGACCACGGACCGTCTGGACCGCGGGCCATCGGACCGCGGGTGGACCGATCCGGACCGCAGACCGTCTGGACCACGGACCGTTTGGACGGACTGTCTGGGACGCGGACTGTCCGGACCACGGACCATCTAGACCGC